ATGTAAGTGTACTTCTGTAACAGGAATTGAGTTGTATAAACACACCCAGCATACAAGTTTGTCAATCAGAAATTCTGCGGACTGTGTGAGCTCGAGTCCTCATGACATGGGTATAGATATATTAAAGTTATTCTGTTATCAGAACTATTCTATAGGGTATTATACATCAAAAAGGGATGCTCGAATTAAAAACAATGTCATTATATAAGGAGCAGTGAGGGTAGCCTAATTTTTAACGTGTTGGCTTGTTCCACTGGTCAGCCAAGTCAATTCCCCGATGGATACATTGTTTGAAGCCAATGTCTGGTGTCCCCTCTCATTATATGGCTTGAATATTGCTAATAGCAGTTAATTTTAACCATTCCTTCTCATGCCTTGTGATGCCTTCATTCACTGTATATAAGAAGCCACTGGCCGGTCGGACATCGAGATATTTCTCCAGTTCCCAATCAAATGAGTGAAGGGAAAACAGTTGTATGACTCGTTTAAGTATTTTGGGGTTATATTTACATTACATAACTAAATAATCCATCTGTCAGGGCTTCCCCAATCAAATTCACAGAGACAATACTGTATCTCTCCAATATAAAAAAGACTTTGTTTTATTGTTTAAGTTAAACATACTAACAGTAAGCTATTTTGTCACAGGTATAAACTTTATCAATCAAAACAGAACTTACTTCAATGTCATTTAAACTACATAAGATCTTTCACCCCAGTCCTAAAAAGGGGGACCCCGTTATAAGGTAGGCAACGTATAGGAAGTACCAGACGTCACATTGAGACACTTTGTTTGGTCACATGGCTGGGTTTGGGGTTCTTGCTCGCTGTAACTGGAATACGTTCCCATGTGATGTTTAACATCAAAATACTCCCGTGTGTGCGTGCAAGACTATCAGGAACATGCTTCTCCGTCTGCTTTTCGATTTTGCTCCAAGCATGATGTACCTTGTTACAGTGTTATGTGAAATAGTGTAAGACTTATACACCATTATGTGCATCATGAGTTCCTTGAAGTTGATTACCCTGAAAAAAATGTTCTGCACATACATCAGAATTCACCTGTGTCGAAAACAGTTGACCATATTTGAATCGTTGTTTCAGTTTTAAAAGTGTGCATGTTGTTAGACACTGCTATGGGAACTACTCTTCCCTTTCTTCATTGTACACACATTCCTTTGGAGACTGTTCGCCTACAACGTTATATACGGAAAAGGAAATACTGTTCGCGAACCATGGTCACTGTCGCCCAAATACGCCTGTTGCGTCGGACTGGCTGCTTTGGCTCACTGCCAAGTTACTAATGGCTTGAAACATCTAAACTTCGAACCGTCAAATCCTGCAAATTGTCACTAGCTTGGTTAGGCTTGAATATTTTTATTTTTGTATTCCAACGTTTTCAATTTCTATCTTCTTTCAGAATTATTAAAGACTGAGTCACTGGGTTATTGAAACAAATAGACAAAAGTAACTTGTGATATTTGGTACTTTGTAAGTTGGGATTTGTAGGGGGAGGGGTGGGGCGGATTTAGGAGGGTGAGGTTGTGGGTGGGGCGGTAGTGGCAGAAAGGTGTGATGGGGTTGTGTGCACCGTGCGGCTCATGGATTGTGAGTGTTTCTTGCAGGCAAGGATTGCCTGAAGATTGTTTGTTGTGTGGCCTGTAGCTGCATCTCTTGATACTTACTCCTAGATTCCTCGACTAATACCAGCAGAATACAAGAGTCAAATTTGGAAAAGGTGTAATGAATATTGTTTTGATCAACACCACACTTGCACTGTTCACCAAGTATTGATTTGATCTTATTTATGTTTCGATCCATGATAGGGACAGAATCCTCAGGACCCTCCTCCCCAGTTAACCAAAGTTCAAAATATCATTTCTGGAGCAAATTATTTTTAAATGAAATTCCAGCATTATAAAGATTCAATTATGCGAGTTGACGTTTTCCTTCAAGAGGAAAAACAAGCGCCAAAGTGCTAAAAAGTTGGTGTGTGCTCGCCGCCAGCCAATCAGTGACGATTTGGGTATGTATTTCTTGCACGTGTACCTGTCAATCATGACAGTTTTACGCGGGACTATAAAATACTGAGCTGGCAATGCGGCGTCATTCTGCTCTCTATTTCCAAGACGAAACAACCATGTCAGGAAATCGACTACTTCGGCGCGGACTCTCTGTGGATCGGGATATACAGTGCGACTGCCCATTCCTCTCCAGGTTTGCCAACCTGTTTGTTCCAAGCCCGGACAACAGTGTCATTCCAACTTTGGACCTCTTCACAGAGTACAAGGCCAAAGTGGCAGCCTGGACCGATGATCACCAGCTCCACGCTCTCGCCGGTAGACGCCAAGCCTTCACTGCTCAGTTCCGGGTGGTCGCCATCAACGTGGGCTTCGCCTACGTGGCATCTCCTCGCCGTGGGTATAAGGTTAGAAGGGTAAGGGTAGGTCGAAATTTGAGGGGAGGGGAAGGGGATCGGGATGTTTTGGGGGACCCTTTGCGGTATTCTTTGAGGGGTTACAATACTCGTAGGACAGTGCAGGAGAGGGAGAGGAGGGGGGATATGCTTTCGGCACCTATTGTTGCACCTGTCGGTGGAGAAATTGGGAAGGGGGTTTTTGCCACTCGGAATTATAGGGGGAAGGAGGTGGTGTGCGAGTATCTTGGCCAGCTGATTCCGAGGGCAGACGTTGATGGGAGGTTGGACGAATACGACAGGTTGAAATTAACGTACCGGTTTATTCATGTTCAGGGGGCTCAGGGGGCTCGTGGTCATGAGGCACTTGTTTTGGACGGCCATCGAAATCACCAGGGTGGTCTTATTCACCCTGATTCAAATTTGGGGGCAACCATGAACCACTCTAGGGATAACGCTAACTGCAGGTTAACTCGGGTTATGGGGAGGAGGGGGGAACGGCACAGATTCTGGATGGTGACCAAGACTGGGGTCAGTGCTGGCGCGGAGTTCCGATGGGAGTATGGAGACTTCAGGCGGGGAGTGGAAGGTTTCATCGACCACAGGGAGTTCGGCCGCCATTAACACCGATGTCAGGAACCTAGCTTCCTTGACGGCCTTTTTCAAGGCCAACAAATGATCCAAAAGGAAACTTGAAACATGAAAAATGAAAACCTGAACAGGAATGCAACATTAAAACTAAAAATGGCCCTATATGTATTAAAACTAAAGAGAGAATTTTATTAATTAAATAACATCACCATAAATATGCAGCCAAAAGGTAAACAACAAATATGAAATCATTGCTAGTCTGGGGTCGTGGTATGTTGTTTTGTTAATGACAATATTTTCCAAAGGAAACTTGAAGCGTTAAATATGAACTTGAAAAATCTTGTTGAAATTTAAAAACAAATACTTTTATGATAAAATAATTCAACTCCAAAATAATTAATGTTGAATGAAAAAATAAAATGATATACATTGCTTAAAATATAACTTTAAATTTGCAAATCTTTTTAAATATAAATGGGACGTTTGGGTAGCCTAGTGGTTAAAACATTTGCTCGCCCCACGGAAGGTCCGGGTTTGATTCTCTACATGGGTACAATGTCTGTAGCCTATTTCTGGTGTCCCCCGCGGTAATGTTGGAAAATAGCTAATGGCTTCGTAAAACCATACTCACTCACTTTCAATATACACTGTAGTAATTCACTTTTTAAAAAATTATAACCATATGGCCAAACATATATTTATAAATGTAAACATTACAAAAATTATAAATAATCAAAGACACCATCATATGATTTCTCATGTATTTTGTTTTTGGTTTGTGTAGTCCCTAATGAAAATGTAATTAGATGTGTTTTAGTTCACACAAAGAAAATACCGTTCCTTATAACAGCTTTGTTCGACAGTGCTTAGGGACCCACCAATTGGTTTTCTGGAGGTCTGGGTATTTTTTCAGAGAAATGAAGTAATTCGTTCCCAAAAAAATGTTTTTGCTGGGCCTGCAGGAATTCCTGAAACAACTGCGTGATTCCTCCTTCCACAGAAGGGCTGTGCAGAAGGGCAAATAATATGGTTCAGGGACTGTGATACATACTACTTATGTGCAACATCACAGTATAATAATTCATAGTTCTACTGCGGCAGTGTTTATTTTCACAAATGGATGCAGCCAGACTGGTCACTCCAATGGTTAGAATTAACAGTCTGCACTTGGTATGAAAAAAAGGAATATTTCCATAAATACAATGTTGAAACTCCCATTTATCATTTGGCATGGGAAAAAAATACATGTCTCCAAACAGAAATCCATCATGTGATGTGGCCCGGAAGGCAGAGGTACTAAAGTTTGACTATGGCTATTGTTGACTTTAATTCAAGCTTCTTTCAATGGCATATCAAACAGGACACGGAACTGCTCCCACATATCTCAAAGATCACACAAGGCAGTATGTCCCTGCAAGAATACTTTGGTCAACTCAACAATTCCTCCTGCGGGTTCAAAAATAAAAGTTAAAGACCTTTGTCCCCAGATCGTAAAGTGTTGCTAATGATTCTTTGTGGAACTCATTCAATCTCATACTGAAACCGGCACCATCACTTCACTCCCCGACACACATCTTTCGGCGCTATTCTCATAGATCTGGTTCATAAGCACTTTCAGAGTAAACTGCATTTGCTAGACCTGCAATTTGTTTGCACTTTGAGCATGCCCATGTTGGTTGGTTGGTTGGTTGGTTGGTTGGTTGTTTAACGCCGCACTCAGCAATATTCCAGCTATATGACGGCAGTCTGTAAATAATCGAGTCTGGACCAGACAATCCAGTGATTGACATCATGAGCATCGATCCACGCAATTGGGATAGATGACATGCATCAACCAAGTCAGCGCATGTGGTGTGGACCCATAGTGAAATATACATGGCTAAATTATTATTATTATTTTTGATAAAGCTCACCTATAATGAAATACAGTTAGGAACAAGAACAAATCATCAAAACAAAATTTAAATTTATTAAGCCAAAGTGTTTTGAATATGTAATTATTACTAAAACATAGCATGGAAAGTAAGGCTTTTGGACAACTATATCAAATACAGATCTAGCGATCCATCCATCCTTCCATCCATCAATTCATAAATATACAGAACATTTTCCCCTGACATAACATTTGGCCACTAATGGGATTTACAATATGGATACCTTAATTAACAATTACATTTCTGATTGCCACAAATTCCGAAAAAGTTTCAGCCTAATAGTTACAAAATTTAAAGAAAAAAGGTGTCACACTCCAGGAAAAAATCACATACAATAAACACAATATAATACAAAACCCGGAGCCCGGCTGAGACACTTCATCTACTATAAAACCATACGCGTACACCTACATACAAAACAATGACACCAATATACATGCAGTGATATCTACATACATATGATACCTACATACCTACGATACCCACACACATTCAATGATACCTACATACAATGAAACCCATACACATTCAATTAAGAAATGACTTTCATTTTGTTTGAGTTCATTGAAGTATGAACCTTGGTAGAGTGAGGGCCAAACCTTGTATAGACGTTGTCGCAAATTCCGACGTGCATACACGGTTTGGTCCTCACTCTAACAAGGTTCATACTTCAATGAACCCATTGCTTATACCCCTCCGCCCCGGTCTAGTAAGAACTACCCTAGTAAGTCAGTCATAATGACAGTACAAGTTAGTCCTCTAGCTATACCCTATACAAGAACAGCTATAAGCACGTCCTGTTTAATGACATCACTTCTGGCTTGGAAAATGCATGCTCAATGCAGTACAACATTGAAAACCTTATGCCTATAGCTACCTTAATATCAAAGTTATATCAACTGCCGGGTCACTGATATTACAAATTTGGGAAAATGCTGTACAGTTTCAAAACAATATGTCCAATGCCTATTGCTACATTGATAAAAAAGTAACACGCCAATCCAGTTGGGAAATATACACATCACATGTAGTGTGACTTTTAAACAGAAAGCCACATTAACAATAAAGCTACTTGCAACTCTTGTTTGATGACATGACTTCAATTTTCGATAAACACATGTCTAATGCAAGGCAACTTCAGAACAAAATCACGTGCCCAAAGCTATCATTTCATTTCCAGAGCAGATCTTGAAAATCATACATTATTTCTTCATCAAACTTGGCACATAGATCAAGTGGTGAACTGGTGCCTTTTGATCATGTTTTTTTCCCCCGACAATCCCAAACTAGAGTGCCAAATGTGGTTACGAAACGAGCACTACTAGCATTTCCAGCCTAAGTCAAACTTGTTGCCATGGAAACTCAAATGGTTTTGGGTTTTATAAATAACAATCAATCAAAAGGCACCAGTTCATGACTAGACCTATTTATGTTTAGAAACATTGTATGGTTTACAAAGTCGTGCAGGAACTGACATCTTGCAGGGACAGATGCTGTCCATATTATTGAACAAAACACAGTGCAGGGCAACCTTCATTTGTTTCCTTTTCTTTAAATGTGAAATAGAACATGTAGCACCGTGCCTGTGCTCTAGAAACTCCTTTGCCTTTTCTACATCTGTTCCAAAAGGAAGTCTTTACAAATGCTTTTTTTGTGAAAACAACAAAGCCAAAGTCTGAAAATGCCATATGAATTATATCAGAACAGAGGGGTGAAGTGATAGAAAATGAAAGGGGTTTGCGAGTTTAAACAATTCACAAACAGGGCACGCTTTAACATTAAATAGGTTACACACAAACAAATGTTTTCCCATACACTTCTATAGTAACATTGTATTTTTAAAAATAACTACGCTTTCAACAGCAACTTAAGAATACAAATGTGTGCAGTCTTGCCTTAAAGCTGCAATAAAAACAAAAAAGTTGACTGTCTTAGCCAGGTCCTTTTCTAAGTACAGGAACTTAAACACACTACATCCAGTTCCGCACCAAATGTCACTTGCTTGAAAATAGCTGTGGTCACATTCAGCATGAGTCATCATGTTGAAAACGACAGCACTAATTATAGAACAACATGGTCAGTTTTAAATACTGGATGGATGTACATTTGAAAAAAACTTGAAATCTTATACAAAATCATCCAATCACAGCTGCCAGATGATTAAGGAAAGGCTCCCAATGAACTCTGCATGTTCTGATTTGGTGGTGTAGAACCTGCAGATAAATTAGAAACATTTGATTTATGTATTGCATATGATATAAATATGTGTGTAACTTCTTAGATAAAAAACAACATCAATATGATTTCCTATCCAACATGTCTTCATGGCACCAGAACACAACCTTTTGATGTACCGAAGGAGCTGTAAGAGTTAAATGACATATATTTTATCAATGTCTTACAAAACGTATTTTTGTATTAATAAGACGTTTCAGCAATCATACACAGACCATGGGAGTTTATTCATGTTTTATAAAAGAAGGTGGTCGTGGATCAATGCAATACATGCTTGGGGCTGCCTAGATCATTACACCCTACACAATATTTTTAACTATAAAAAAGTAACAAATCTTTAAACCTCAAAACCATAACCAAATGCCTCGAATTTACACCCCCAATGACTATCAACATTTTGTACATCACCAATAGAAGGGCTAACACAAATGTTTGTGCTTTCTTTCAGCCCCAAAATCAAAAGTGTAAGCGCCAATGATATAACCTGGTGACATAAGTACACATGGAAAGAAAGCAGAAACATTATTCAAATTTGGACAGAAGCATGGATTTCAGGCCAGAAACTGGCCAGGGACACATTAAGCAGCACATTTAAGTTTTCATACATGTAAGGCTAGGTAATGAACTTTACCAGAAAGTATGAAGTAAAGGGTGGATTGTGACCAACAATCTCAAACACTGACCAGTGAACCATACTGTCTATAACAGCTGATAAAGGGAAGTAACCCCTTAAGTAGTGGAAAACACTTTGAAAACAAGAAAATTACACTTACGTTTAATTATTCATTTAGTTAAGACTTTGAAATACTCATAGGAAATCTAAAACACTTTCTGTTGAATGTTGTTAGGTTGCTAAACATGACAATTACAAGTATTTGCATGTTTTAAGGAATCAAAGTAAAAACTCAAGATAATTTAGGAACTTTATAGGTTATCCCGACACAAAAGAGGTTATTTTTATGCACAATTAACAGTGTTTGGCAATACCAGTTTAAAAGAGTATTTCTCTCCAATAATTGATGGGCTAACAGGGGACAGACATATACAATGCATTTTACTAATCAAGGGAGATAATTTAGTAAAGTAGATCAATGTCACATTCTTTCTAAGGTGAATTAGAACAATAACGCTCCATTGCGCAAGATCCAGTGGGTATTATTTTCATCTCTGCAGGTTCTGGGGCTGATGTAGAGCCCTTGTTTCATGTTTGGAAAAGTGAAAAGCTGCACAGTGATGCATTAATGGAGCACAGTCAGAAATTTCTACTGTATGAGGGTGACCTTATGATGGAACTCAACAGTGGGGCCTTACCTCTACCTGGGGAGGGTTGGGATTAATGTACTAAATGTACCTACGTGTCCAAGTACCACAACTTCTACCAGGCGGTCGAGGGTAGTGAGGTAAAGCAAAAGCAAGGGTTGTCGATCATCCACTGCCAACACCAGACTTCAGATCAGCTGGCCAAAATGGCACTTTATATGTGAAAGCTTTTGTTTCTTCTGCACATGTACCTCCCCAGTCAGTATCAGGCATGCTTCAAGCTGAAAACAGTATTTTTAGAAATATAAGTGATAACTTGGATCATCCCTACACAAGAAAGGCCCCGAACAGAAAGATTTCATGGAACTCTATATTGCTTACATTAAATAGGAAGGTTTGTGATATTTTCTGAGGTCAGCAGTGTACACGCTCCATACTCATGATACCAGTATCGCATGACTTGGCCTGCAGGAGATTTACACAGACCCAAAAAATGTGGCAGTGGTGACTCTATCCTAATTATTTGTTTAATTCATCAGTTTCAACAAATTCAGAAGGCAGGAGACCGTGACTTGATGGACAATGGCTGTTTGACCACAAAGCGAGGCAACGTTCATATCCATATTGTGAAAAAAGGACACATGAAAAGTCGTAACAGTATGTCTAAAATGTTTACCAAATGCGCTGGCCTTTAATGCACGTGCAAACGTTAATACAAAGGAAGGATAGCCTGAAGGGGGTTAAGGAACTTCATTTAACTTGCTCCAAGTGTATGTTGACATGAAAATCTAGTTGTACCAGACAAAATAAAATTCCACTCTTGTCCCATAAATTTATCAAAGATGAAACATTGATGAATAAACCTGAATAAGTACATCTCAAATGTCTGATGACATAATATATTAACATAAATATTGCTGTAAAACATAAATAGGAAGTGCACATAATCATGGAGTTCCCACAGTTTGAGGACTTCAAGTCCAAGAAATGATGACAAATTACACATAGCACAGGCATTCGCGATCGTAATGTAGTATGGTAAGCTCAGAGGTGTTGAATGTGTTCAACCATGGTTGTTGAGTGGACAAGTAAATGATACTCAGACACAAATTTGATTTGTTTTTTAAAAATGCACTTGGTGCAAGCTTTAAGCACTTTTGAACGTCTTAATAGTCAGTCTGTCAAATAAATGAACATATTTTTCAGGCTATTTGTAAATTGACTGAAATATTTAGACATTAAGTGCTTTTATAAGTTATTATAATATAATATTTATACAACATTCCATATAATTATAGTTTAGCAAGTAATAAATATCATCAAGTAAAATACATATACAAAATATCAGTATTTTCAGTCATAGCTTTGTAGATAGATGCTAGCCTAAGGTATGGGAACACATCTCCTAGACACACTATTCAATAAGACAAAAGTTATGTCTACATAGTTTAATAGATTTAAAGCTTTCGGATAAATACTAGCCTAAGGTATCAAGATCCCATCTCCCAGACATAATATCCAATAAGACAAAAGATATGTCTACATAGTCTTATAGATTGCCTTGAACTATTTTATTTAAGTAAATCTGTCATCACCTATATTAGAATAACATTCAGCAATTACTTCAATTTAGACTCATTAAGGATTAGGATTAGCCCCCATACAAGCTCGTCTATAGTGACACCGTAATCTCTTTCAAAGCACCCAGTACATATGTCAACAAGATTAGAGCCAGTCCAACTGGATAAAGAGGATTAAGTATTCCCCTCTGTCTAGCCATTCATTAACCATAAGGCACACCCCATCGTGTATCAACCAATCATATTCCTTTTTATTGTTCTAATCTTTGTTAAATACATATTGAAGCAAAATGTTAAGCAGGAGGGGTTTGACGCTCTTTCCAAGCAGATCTCTCTCCCACTGCCCAGAGGGTTGTACCGACTCTCTGTGGCACCCTCAGCTATAGTAAACATATTGTTCATTGTTAATTGTTCTTGTAAATAAAATTGTGATTAGTCTCCTGTGACTCCGGCTCTTTGCTGACTAATTCCCCCAAGAAAACCAGCACGCCATTTTGAAGTTTTGTTCATCCGAACAGAACCATATTAATTCCATAATAAATGAATGTCCACATAAAGAAAAATGTCCCATACACCTGCATCCTTTGAAATAAACTTGTTCAGTGTCACGTGTCTTTTTTTATTTGTTTGTTTGGTGTTTAACGCCGCATTCAGCAATATTCCAGCATTATGACGGTCTGTAAATAATCCAGTCTGGAACAGAAAATCCAGTGATTGACATCATGTTCATCGATCCACGCAATTGGGATAGGATGACATGCTTGACCAAGTTAGCGAGCCTGACCACCCGGTCCCGTTAGTCGCCTCTTACAACAAGCATTGCGCCTTTTACGGCAAGAATGGGTTGCTGAAGACCTATTGTAACACGGATCTTCAGGTGTTTCACATAGGTGTCAAGTCTCATTTGTCAGCTGAGACAGCACTATTGACAGCTACTTTCATGATGTCCACGGTTCTTGAAATGAATCCATTGAATTAGATAACAATGAGCAATCTATCAACGTATTATGAGCTAATCCTTTGAACAAAGTATGTTGTTTTTACATAGGCACTTCACGCCCAAATGGGTGTATTCCTTCTGATTTAGTATACTGTAAAACATTTTTGCACATAGCTCGAGACCTATTCTGGTACCTGGTACCTGGGTAGGGTAGAAATATTGTTTCTATACAATGGGTAAGTATATATTTTTTCACAATAGATAGGCCAAGTATATATTATAATAATGATCTCAGATCTTGGATGATTTCTAAAATTGAATATACTACATTGTCCACTTATTCATGCCAAAGTCTTTGTCCAAGGAAAACTTGCCCACCATATCTCCTGGATATGGAGCCTCTGAATGAGAGCCGTTTTGACCAAAGTGACAAGTTGGCAAATTAGGGACCGTCTCACCGAAACTTTTAATAGAAGAAGTGGTTAATAAACTACTTTGTCCCCTCTGCCTTCCTATTTGCTGATCGACTAAATGAACATCTAAAACTACAATAAACAGGCCCATTTCTCAATTCAGTCTATATATCATTGCGCCAAGAAAAGCTGTTTGTATGTACCGTAGTTGAGACCCCAGGGGATGCAGGCTAAAACAGTACCTCAGCAAATCGTCACCTCTTTCTCTGGAGAAAACGGCACCGCATTTGGCGAAAACGGCTACTTTATGTCAGGCAAAAACGGCACCTCTATTCTTAATAACGATAAGAACGATTCATGTCACATGAAACAGTATGTTGATTTTTTCTTACATTCTTCTCGCATGCAACACATCGAAAGGCCATTGTGAATAATTGTGATACAGTTTCAGCATGACATTGAGTTGAATTGAGTAAAGGTACTTAAAACTTCAATGCATATAATGTTTCCACAATAAGTTCTCCCAATCAGAGTCGGTCAGTTGTAAACTGGAGTAGAGGCTAATTTCTAATGTAAACTTGTTTTAACATTTCACGATTATTTGTGTTTGTAAGTGACAACGTGAGTTTAATTTAGTTCATTTTACTTCAAAGCATGTTATGTTTTCACAATATGGTGAGTTGCGTATAGGCTAGGTTTGAATAAAGTTGGAGTAGAGGCTAATTTCTAATGTAACATTTCACAAATATAAGGTGCTGTGTTCGCCAGGCAATGGTAGCCGTTTTAGCTTCAGGCGAGGTGACGTTTTCGCCAATCGGTGCCGTTTTCGCCAGGTGACGTTTTGCTGAGGTGTCGTTATTTCTATAACCCGACCCCGTGAGCACAATCAACTTCAAATGGCAATAAGCCGACTATTTCGTTCAAGAAAGAAACCTTGAAATAATGTGTGTCTTGAGTGCACGGTATGAGACAAGCACCACTGTTAATACAATAAATAATTTTTAAAAAGAGAGGCCTATCACGATACAAACCATGCGTTTCCCATAACAGTGTGCCGCCATGTTACATTTCCTCATGCAGCGGGTGAAACGGTAAATACAAAATGGCAAGTTCCGAAATAGCACAAAATGTGAATTGTTCATTAAATTTTTAATTCATCTTTACAGTCTTATTCTGACTGAAGTATTAGTATGTCAAATTATCTGTCAACTTCAACAATACCTACATACATTGGTGAATTACTAGCAAGCGCTCATTTCGACGTTGCCGTTTTTGCGTTTCACATTTTTGAAAGCACAGGTCATCTCGGTGACTGCGAAAGTACTGAGAGCAAAACACTGACGTTAGGGAGAACACCTTCTGAGATGCATATTAGGAAAAACTGACCAAAAACTAATAGAATATACCTGTACCATATAGTAGTTCTACCCTCATAATAGGCAAGTCTAGATACGAAATACAACAAGTCAGTGTTGTCCACTAGATAAACCGATTTTTTTCCTTCTGTTTAGTCCTGCATGAATTTGGTTTTTGTGTGTCTATTATTCGTCAACGCCTTGGCTCTGCTTTGTCTGGACATCCCTACCCTGCTGTAGTGAATTCCATATGCTATATGTTTATTCTTTCTACGTTTATGTGTACATGTATGTGGACGCCGGGATACATTCGTGTGAAAAACAACAAATACAAGGGACATCTTCGCGTTGACGCATGTTCGAAATTACTCACGTTTTTAAGTGGGAAGAAAATACAGCTTAAAACGATGCGTACCGAGATAGACCGATGATCAATATGGAAATTTATATGTCATGGATAATTGTGATAGTATCCATTGTCAGTTTGTCAATAAGCATTGTGGTATATCGGCGATAAGGGTTAGAGTTGGTCCAGGGCAACCAAAGTTTGTTGTGTGAGGCAACTCATGATTGAATGGATCGCGTTGTCGGTGTGTCGGCGTGCCCCGACGGCGTGAATCGCTGCTCTTTATATCAATCACTGGATCGTTTGATCCGGACTCTATTATTTACAGATCGCCGTCAATAAACTGGAATATTCCCGAGAGCGGCGTAGAACAGCGCGCGCACATGCACGCACACACAAGCGCTTTTATCAAACTGAAGCGCTGTTGCCATTTAAGCCAAATAAAGGCATGTGCATATGTCTGTTTTAAAATATTCAGCAGAAAACATATATTAATCAGTTGTGAATACATAGGAAAAGGGACCCCTCACTGATTAGGGCCTTGTTTACTTAAGAAATTCATTAGCCAAGTAAGATGACATAACCAAAAGCCAGCTGCAATAACAGGCGATAATGTTGCTTATTAAACCAGTTAAATTCAGTTACAGTTTGCAGATGTGTTGGGGGTTTAACTTATCCATCAATTGAGGCTGTAGATCAGCGTGTAACTCACTATTTAATATATAGAACAGTTACAATAAATCTTATGAACATATTCTGACAGAACTATAGCGACTTCTATCTATACACTGTTAAAAACGCCATAGTCAGATTAATATTTGTTACTATTCAGGGTGTGAGCTAAACTAACCCTGAGTCTCCAAAAATATAAAATTTTGAATTTTTTTTACAAACAACTGCAATAAAATGAAAAGGAGCCCCAGTGCTTCATTGATGACTAAGTCATCACAGCAAGGGATGGTCGGAAGTTGGTGAGCATGTATCTTCAGAACTTCATGATTGACCCTTCATTCTGTCGAACCCTTCCAAGAAATAGAGTTATATATAAGTCGTTACTCGACTTTACTGGTTTGCGGGCTAAACGTTCGGTACCCACATTGGTGAAACTAAAATATGTGGTGATTATTAGCACCAATTCTGTTAATGTCATTCGAAAAAATAAAGACGAAAATATTTTCGCTCCTGTTTTGCATGAGAAATGTTTTGTTTTTTTGTTTTTTATAAATACGAAGTAGTTCTTTGTTATGTCATTAAATCAATTTACACATTACCGATTAGCAATAGCAGCGAATACCTTATTTTATGTGAGTTTGACTTTAGAACGGTAACTGGCGTTAATATACATCCAAGGTGACATAAATAGATGTGTTTACATATTAAATAACGAAATAATACAATTCATCAGTTCTCATGTTTAAATGTTCTGGTCATCATCAACAAAAATAATTTAGTTGTTCAGTTTCTGGGAGCTTTATTATCCTTCTAAGGAAAAGTGCATTTTGCACAGTTTGACCTGGTCAATAGGAGTAAACTCTTTATAAACATTTTATAGAGCAGAAATTCTGTGAAGAGTAGGAGATCGATTCTTCACATGGATTTTAATGTATCAAAGTTATTCCTTTATCAAACTATCTCATAGTGTATTTATAGATAGTTTTGAAAAGGGTACCCGGGTACTGTGCGATTCGGGTCGACCCATTACCCAAGTAGTAACTTTTATCAAGTTTTGAGGTAAAATTGTTCACAAGGTTTTGTCTCACATTGCGGAAAATTGTTTGTTTTTTGTTATTTCATTATAGTCTTCTTCCGATGTTCACTGTGGACCACTGACTTCGAAGACATGCATATATTTATACAGTTACCAGTCACATAGACAAAGTAAAACCTTTATATGATACGTTCCCCAAAGTGTTCTGGGTGTATATAAATATTCAATAATTAAATAATTCATCTTAGTGTTTCAGTCATTCCTCCAATCAAATTCACAGAGACTACAGTTTCTCTCCGAAATTAAAAGTGACATTGTTTCACTTTAAAGTGAAAATGCATTAAGTAGACTATTTACCATAGTTATAAACTTCCTAAATCAAAATAAAACTTAAACACGTGTCATATTAAGTGAAATAACAACTGTTTATCTCCGACTTCAGTCCTAATAGGGAGGACCCCAGTATAAGATATGCGACGTATAGGAACTGCCAGACATCACTTTGAAACAGTGTTGCCTGGTCAACTCCACAGCTGTGTTTGGGGCTCTGCCTGTGTGGTTATGAGTTTGCTTTCCGATTTTGACCCAACAAGCACAACGCACATGGTAACAATGCCATGTGCAGTAATGTGAGATTTATACACCAGGTGCATAATTAATTCCAGGGAGTTGATTAACCTGACAGAATTGTTCTCCATGCACAACCCTGTCTGACATACAGACCCGTATTGTAATCTTTATTTCAGGTTTAAAAGTGCCCATGCCTTTACACACAGCTTAAGAATAGGTGCTGCCGTCATATAGCTGGAAGATGGCTCAGTGTGGCCTGAGACAACACATAAACAAACTCCGATCTCCATAGTGTGCATATTCTTTAAGTTTGGAGACTGTACGCCTACAACATTGTATATATCGGAAAGGAAAGATGCTGTTCGGAAACAATAAACACTGTCGCCCAAATACGCCTGTCGCTTTGGACGGACAGTTTTAGCTGGCAGCCAATTCTTGATCCTGTGAAAATGTAAATAGTGTCAGCAGCTTGATTAGGCCTAAAGCAAAGCATTTTTGTTTCTTGGGTCTGTCGTGTTTCCTTACTTTCATTCCGGACATTTTAATAAGAATTATAAAAGATTGAGTCAGTGGGTTATTGATTTATATAACAAAACTCCTGCATTGCAGTAAAATATTTATATCTAACTGGTATACAAGGGACCCACTATTTAATATTTAGTATGGGATGAACTCAGTATTCAAATAAATATAAATATTAGAGAATGATTTGCCTGGGGAAGTATATTTACACTTCTACGATAAAAAGATAAAATTAAAAAAGTACAATTCATGTTGAATAAAAAACTTAAATTATATATAACAAAGGTTATATTTAGGATAACACTTTCTGTTTAAAATACAGATTCTCGTACTCTTTTGGGTTGAGTCCCGCCCGGGATTTCGAACCCACACTGCGAGAGTGTTTTAAAGTTGACTCGAAATTAGTAACATTCAGCAAATATACACAGCAGTTCTTCATCAGAATAAACATTAAAAATGAGATCACGTGATTCAAGTGAAATAAGGTTAAACAGTACAAAAACTATTTTTTTACAAGGATGAAAAATAAATATATAAACTATCAATGGCATCATCAGCATCACTGCTTGTATATTTTATTTTTGGTTTGTTCCCTCCCTCCAATGAAACACACATATCTGTGTTTAAGGTCACATAAAGAAAATAGTGTTTTTCCTAACTTCCTTGCTCGACTATTCATAGTGATCCGCCATTTGGTATTTGATGGCATGTGTATTTCAAAATAATAATAATAATAATAATAATAATAATAATAATAATAATAATAATAAATAAACAGAGAAAACAAATCATATGTTCCAGAAAACAATTATTGTTTCCTGTATCTGCTGGAAGTCCGGAAAAAAACTGTGATTCCTCCTTTTGCAGAAATGATTTGTCTGTTTTGAAGCAGTTAGTGTCACAAACAGAGAGCCCAGCCCTCAGGATAAATAAAGCAAGACCTTATTTCTCCGGGTAAAAAAAATATAATACTTGCTAGTGAACATTCAGGTTGTAAGTATCCTCTTATAGCCTTCCTGCCATTAATAATGAATAATATACAACGCTAGTTTTCTTAAGTGTACAGAAACTAATACGGACTATTATCATTAACTGTACCAAACGTTTTGATGAACATCTCCATAATTGACACATAATTTTGTACTGAAGAGCTTATTTTCGAATAAATCCCAAAAGAGGCTGATTAAAAGTAATAATATCCCAAAACAAGAGGCAAATTTAACCACTAATATTTTCCGGTAGACTGGAAAATAAATTCAGTGGTGGGCTGGTTGTCTTCAAAGCGACTTTCCTTGTTAAACGTTGCCTGAGCAACGTGATTCTTAATTCTTTGAACTCTGGCAAACTGCCATATTTTAATATAGACTCAGGATACTCGTAGGGCTAAGATCGCTTTGTGGAACAGGACCCTCCCCACGACTTTCCGAGGTCTCTGAACCTTTCTCTGTCCGCATAGCCCGGGTCAATTCTATTTGTCGATGACACGAGGAGCATTCCTCCCCATAGTATTTGTTACAGAAAAAGAACAAGATTCTGATAACCAACACAGCCTCTAATGTTTATTTATTGAATCACCCGGCAATACGTTA